ATCCTGTAAGAGGCCTGGGAAGCCCAAAGCAGCTACCTGTCTGCTCCCCATGTTCCCTGATACTTCATATTGCAAAAAGTTTGTCATTTCATCAGTCTGAATATTTTATGAGAGCGGTGGAAAGAGCATTCATTTGGTAATCAACAGATCTGAGTTTAAATATTGACTACTTGTGTGACCTTGGGCAAGTCACTTAAGTCATCGTCACTCAAGTCACATCAAGTCATCATCAACAAACAGTTACTAAGCATCTATAATATTGCCAGGCAGTATGTTAAGCAATGGGGATACAAAAAAAGGCAGAAAACAAAACAAACAGGCCTCAGTTTCTTTATCTGTAAAATATGGAGTTAGACTAGACGTACTCTAAGGTCTCTTACTAAATTGGATCAATGATTTAATCTCTCTCTCTCTTATCTCTGTCTCTCTCATATCTCTGTCTCTGTCTATCTCTCTATCTCTCCTGTAGATCCCAACTATACACACTATAATAGATAGTTTAGATAAAAACAGTCTTCATTTAGGGAATCAACTTTTGGGTTTTCTGCATTTGGTTCTTCAATAACAAGACAATCAGTTTGTAAGAGAGAAACTACTTTCTACTTTGTTAAGATCTGGGATGCGTTACCTCCATTCAGTGCAAGATGAAAAAATTAGAGTGGGACTTCAGCAGAAACCTTGATGAAAAAAAATGGGACCTCATATATTCAGTGATTCTAAAAGCAATTAAAAACCAAACCAACCATAGAAGGTTGTAGATAAAACCTGACAACAATTATATTCTATCCACTAGACTCTCAATACAAAGGACATTTGTGAAAGAGCTGTAAGTTTGGCGTTTCTTACTGTAATTCAGGGCCCATAAAACCATGGATTCATAAATTTAAAACAAATTTAGAGCTGGAGGGTCATCTAGTACAGCCCTCTCATTTTACAAGTGAAGAAATGAGGCCCACAGAAGCTAAGTGACTTCTCCAAGGTCCCATAGATTGTGAATGACAAACAGGAAAATTTGAACCCACATCTTTGACCTCTAGAGTTGGTGCTCTTTCCACTATCTCATGTTGCCTCCAAATCTCAGGAAGGCCTAGAAGAAAAGAAGTCATAGCTAAAACAAGAAAATAAGCCATTTTTTAAAACTTAATCCTGACCGTATTCATTATTTTTAAAAATAACTATTTTTTTTTCTTTTTAATCTCAACTAAATATTGAAGGTAGAAGTCTTGGGGTGTTTGGAATAATTTTTTAAATTTAAACTAATATCTAAATCAGGAATTTCTTACTTTAAGCAGTATGGTAAAATCTATAGTCTCTTTTTCAGAATGTTTTTAAGTAAATAAAACACAGAGGATTACAAAGGAAACTAATTATATTAAAATCCACTATTGAATTTTTTTTTTTAGGTTCACAGCCCCAGGGTTAAGAACACCTGATTCAAACAGAACTTATGAGAGTACTTAATGGCAGTATGATTTCTAACATCTTATTGTGCTTTTAAGACAGAACTCCATGATAGAGGTGAACCACTATGAGAAAGGTGAGGTTCAAGTCCCATCTCTGCCATACAGATTTGCTAGATGACCCTCAATGCCCCAAGGAACTCTCTAAAACACGAAGGTGCCAAACAGGCGCCCATCCATATTGGTATAGGGTGTTTCCTCATCAGGAAATCAGACATATATCACTGATCTGATTCTAAAAATACAGAATTAGGCAGGGTCAACAGGGAAAAATGTGCTCATGGGCTCCACAGAAAATGAAAGTAATTAAACATTTTCGGACTGTCTTATCAGTTATCTTCAGTCCCTTAAAATAAATAAATAGCTATAAATATAGATATGCATATTTAGTATCTAGTCCCAGGCTGGCTACAGTCTCATTTCATAAATATTAATACAACTGGAGAGCCTGAATTTTACCGTAGCTGGTGGGGAATTTCAGGCACATATAAGCTGAACCAAAATGAGCTTCTAAACATGATGGGACACAGGTGGAAAAACATCACACTTAGAGTCTCCTAGTTAAAAGTGACCTTGGAGGCTGTATAGTCCAGCCTGACCTTGAATAACAGCCTACTCTGCAGCATGCCTGACATGTGGTCATCCAGGTTTCCTTAAAGACTTAAGAGTAAAGAAGGAGACGCACTACCTCTTAAGGCAACCAACTCCACTTTTAGAGAGCTCTTATTTTTTTTAGGAGATTCTTCCTTATCCCAAAGGACTTAAAATTTGTGTCTGTAGAACTTCTATCTTTTTTTTTTTTTTCGGGTGAGGCAATCGGGGTTAAGTGACTTGCCCAAGGTCACACAGCTAGTAAGTGTCAAGTGTTTGGTCTGAGGCCGGATTTGAACTCAGGTCCTCCTGACTTCAGGGCCGGTGCTCTATCCACTGTGCCACCTAGCTGCCCCAGAACTTCTAACTATTGCTCCAAATTTTGACCTCTGAGGCTAATCCCTCTTTCACAGGATAGCTGGTCAAATACTCAAACACAGCTCTCTTATTCCATCCCATCCCTCCCAAATTTTTCTCTTTTTTTAGGCCAAATGTGCCCAAATCCTTCAACTGATCCTTAAGTGGACATCACTTCCAGAATATTTTCCTTTTTTTCCTTTTATTTTTAATTTATGGAATAAAAAAAGCATTTCCATAACATAGTATATTAAAAAAGATGATTACACATGAAACTGCAAATGTATTATATAACTTGCTATTCCTTTTAAATATATAAAGTTATCATGTAAATTCCTTTTTTTTCCTTTTTTTCCTTCCCTCTCCACCCCCCGCCCTAGAGATGGCTACCATTAGACACACACACACATATATGTGTATATGTATATGTCTATGTGTGTGCATATGTATGTATATATGTATCTATATATGTATACACACATATTTATGTAAAATTATTCTATACATACTTCTATTTATCAGTTCTTTCTCTGGATGCAGGTAGTATCTCTCTTCATATGTCCTTTATAGTTAATTTGGGTATTTATAATAGTTAAAGTGACCTATTCGCTCAAAGTTGTTCTTAAAACAATATTGCTGTTACTGTATACGATGTTTTCTTGGTTCTGCTCATTTCGCTCTTCATTATTTCATGAAGTCTTTTCATGTTTTTCTAAGATTGTCAAGCTCATCATTTCTTATAGCACAGTAGTATTCCATCACAATCATACACCACAACTTGTTCAGCCACTCCCCAATTGAAGGGCATCCCTGCAATTTCCAGTTCTTAGCTAGGTAAAAGGGTACAGGCAGTTTAATAACTCTCTGGGCATAATTACAGATTGCTCTCCAAAATCTTTTCCAACCTGGTTCCCCTCCTCAGGGTTCTCCAGTTCAGCAGTGCACTAAAGTATGAAGCCTAGAACTCAACCCAATCCTCTGGATGGATCCTTATTGATACAGATACTGCATAAATATCACCTCCATCATTCTACAAAGTGTTCTCTTAAAACATCCCTTGAAGCTCATATCACTTTGCCTATTCACTCTGAACCCTTGGTCCACTCAAACCTCCAAATCTGCTACAGATGAACAACCACTGATACAGCTTACTAAAGGAAGCGATATATCACTCCGAGACACTTTAACCCCAGGATTTTTCATTCTAATGATGACTAAAAATAAAACTGGACTTATTCCAAAATTCAGATTTTTCTCTTATTCACCTCAAAAGCCAATATACGTAAATCAATCACACATCTTACCAAAGGGTATCACTTTAAGACTTTGATTCTAATGTGTAAAATATATAAAAGGCAACAGCTTGGCATAGTAGATAGAGTGATGGGTCTAGAGTCAGGAAGACCTGAATTCAAATATGGCCTTGAACACCTACAACTAGCTGTGTGATCTTGGGCAAGTCATTTAACCTTGGTTTACCAGCATTTTCTCATCTGTGAATTGCAAATAATAATAGCACCTACCTCCCAGGTTTGTGGTATCAGATCAGATAATGTTTGTGAAGTGCTTTGCAAACCTTAAAGCACTAGTTATAAGTGCCAGCTATTCTTACAGTGAAAATGCAAATTCTATGACAGAGGTGGAAGATGTTAGAACTTTTTTTTCCATTGACAAACAAGAAAAAGTCTTCAGATAAATTCCCATAATATGAAATTTTGTCAGCTAGCCTTCCCATCCTCCTCCCTGCCTCCAAATATAAATCTGAGATCTAAAATGACTTAAGAAGTACTCCAGTGGGCATGCTGTGTGTGAATCTATTTTACTCCTATCTGGAAAATATCACAATGTTCGCCAAATAGCTGAAAAGTAAAACATTTAGAGGTGCGCCACAGTAAAAGTTGCAGACAGCAACCCAGGAGTTATTAGCCAAGGTCCGTTGTCATGGCAATCACGGCACCCTTATGCAACATCACTCATGCCCATTTCTTGTCCAATCTAGAATTACGGATGGAAGAAAACAGGCCAGCATCCTCATGCCAAATCACAGACCATATCAATAATTTGTACACATGGGAGACTTTCTTTCCAGCAGATTTTTAGCTAATCAAGCATATAAATTACTAGGTAACAGCTATACAATTCCTTCCTGAAGCCCTCGCCCTACATTTCACCCCCATGGTCTGAAGTCCAGATCACAGAGAGAGAGTGTTATATTCCCAAAGGGAATCACCTTTAAAACAATAGAGAAAATGATAGCAAATTCTGTTTAACTATTCCCTGACGTGAGAAGTATGGAAAAGAGGCGTGAGTGAGATTTAACCAGAACACTGTCCTCACTTTCCAATGCGGCCCCGAGGAAGCTTCCAAAAACCATAAACTAAAGGGAGTAAAACAATGTGAGGTAAGAGCCAAACAGTACAGAAACACTGAGGCTCTCCAGGGAAGTCTGGCTTAGAAAAAACAAGGGGAAGAGAAGAACACCACTGGGAGGGTGTAAATCAGCTACCCAAGCTGTATTCAGAAACCTCAAATAAGGTATCTCTGGCAGGCCCTGGAATACTATCAAATAAGGCTAAAATCTGTATTACTTACCTTTTCCACAGGTATAAAGTCATTTTCCACTTCTATTGACCTTGGTCTTAGCTTGATAGGTTTGTCTTTGAAGATATCCCCAAAGCCAACACCCCGGACCTTCTTGGGCTGGATTGCTGCTGCTGCCGCGACCATTCCGTTGGCGCCTTCTGACTTGGTACTACTTGAGTCACCACCATCACTTTCTGAGCCTGTAGTTTCCCTCAGACCTGCCAAGAGAAGGGGGAAGGGCAAAGAGGAGATCTTAGAACACAGCGGCTACAAACATCCTAACCAGCGTGGGAGCCGCTTGGGAGGGCCGTTACATGATCACTCTCCACAGAACGATTTGGATTGAGGGTTGCGATTTGAGCATAATGAGTTGGGGGGGGGGGGGGTTCTAGGTTTTGTTTTAATTAAAAGAAGGACTTCTAACCCAAATCCATTTCGTGGCAGGCTGGACCAAACAATATTTCGACTTCTCAATCAGCGCTGACATACTGTACCTTCCATCCGTATGACTCATGTCAACTCAATTATGCAATTAGAGTCCAAAGCAATGTTTCCTAAAGGGAAACTGTAAAGCTAAAAGCTATTTAAACAAATTGGCAATTAAAGAAACCACACAAAATTATGACTGCCAAAGAATCAAATCTGTTTGGATAGCTTCACGAGGAAGAAATGCACACAAACATGTTTCTCTATGAATGTATTAAATCAGACTTGACATTAAGATAGTTTAACTACCTTCACTAATAAGATCATCATGTCTGTCATATCTGGAGAGAAAGCTCTTACTCCCCAAAGCCAGATTCATCCTTTGAGGATTATACTATCCTATCCCCTCTTTCACCCACTTCCTTTTCCCCAAAGCTGAATCCTATTTCATAGGATAAGAACACTCTAATTCACATTCCTCTGATTTCTAATAGGCTGGCTATTCACGTTTAAAGTCATAAAACACTAAAGTCATCAATGAGGAGACATGAATATGCATTTCACCAATCTGAAATATTTTTGTTTTGAATTGATCACTCCAATGAGGAAGTCTCTTCTTATTAAAAATCTCCATCAAGGAAAAGTCTATTTTTGACTAATAGCCAAAATGTGTTAATTTTAAAAATCCAGGTAATCAAATCATATTGTGACTCTTACTAGAAAGGCACAATTTAAGTCACATGTTGTTATGTTCTAAAATCTTCCTTTAAAATTCTTTTAAGCTTATAGGCCTTTAGGTAAGAGCTATGAACTCAGCAAGCCGTCAATGAATATCAACTGGAGAATAAACTCTTAGGACAGAGTCAAACCATCAAACTTTAATCCACATTAAGAGATTAGCCTCCAACTACACAAGAACGGTGCGCCAAATATTTGACTATATTATGCTTGGACAAATTATTATGCTTTATGCATAACTTGAAAAGATTGTTGAGATTTGAAAAGTCATAGTAAAGATGTCCTAAGGAAGAAAAAAGTTGTTCATTGCAAATGAGCAAAAAAGTACAAAACTATTACTATAAATAACTGTCAGTTTTAAGAAAATTCCTCCAAGACTTTTTTCAGTCAAATGGCTTTTACTAGCTGTGGTAGTAGGGGAGTAGCCTGGTAGAAGGGGAGCCATTGTGAAAAATCTACTATTCAATACAATAAACATTTATTAAATAAATTAAAAATTTATTAAAAAATTAAATAAATTAAATTTATGTGTAAGGAATCAAGAGTAAGGCTTTTTATTATAAAAGAACAGCATTTGTGATAGTGGACATCAAGATGAATAAAAATATGGCAAGTGTATTTATGCACAACAAATGTATCTTCTGTAACTTATAGCATATATGAATTTGCAAGTACAGAGAGAATCCCCTAAAATAGCCACCATTCATTTCTTTGTTTGTGTGTTCTTTTCAGAAACATCCCTATGGGAGATATAATTTGGGGGTCTAAATATTTTATCATTTCCCTTTAATGCGTTCACTTTCTACATCATGGGTTCTTCCTCTGAGATTAATGACCCTGAATCATTCTTTGACTGGGAAGAAAAAACACTAACAAGTGTGGGGAAAAAAGGACACACACCCCCAGCAGAATATTACTATTGTTGTTGTTCATTTTTACCAGACAAGATGGAGGACAGATCACAACCTGCTCTAGTCTTCCTCAAAGGAATGTGAAGGTTTCTCCCATTCCTCATAAAACAGGTTTAGGACGAGGTCCATACAATCTCCCCCTTGTGTTTACTGAACTTATCACCACGAACTTTCCACCCTTTGGATTTATCTCTATATTCCTGTACTTACAATTAGAAGAAATACATGAGTTACATTATAAGGATCTATGATTTCATCAAAATGGGGGCACCCTCCATGCCACTGTGGACAGTCTTCACAAGTATCAATAGACAAGAAAATCCACCATTCAGTGGTCAACCTTCTGCTGCACACAGTTCTCCAAATACAATTATTACAATTGGAGTGACAGTTCATTGCCAGAATCTTACTCAAAGTCTTTCCAGGTTGGTAGAATTTGCCAGGGCTTGCTTCCCACTACTGTAGCCTTCAAGAACTCCCTGCCACCATGAGCCATTGAAACAAGGTTGTAGTGGAAGATCTACCTGCTTACCTATTTTTAAATGCTGTATTTTTTTTAACTGTTCACGTTAATCAGTCAAAAATTCCTAAATCCCTTTTGAAGGTCACTTGATGTTAATGATCATGCCATATATCTTTTTTTTTCTAGTATTCATTTTTAAAAGGAATAATTTTTTAATTGAAAAATCAACAAAAACCTTATAAGCCCTTTTCAGATTTATTAACATTGGTCATAAATTTGTTCAATTTGGTATAATTTAATAAAGGTCTTCAATGACATTATTTCAGAATGGGTTAAAGCTTATTATTTCTATGAATCACATGGCAATTTCCTTGATGTAAATAAAATTGCAAGGCAACACTTCACACAAAATGGAAAGGTGGACTCATGTCCGCTAAAGAATTATGTATGCCATAGATTGATTAATGGCTGAGTAAGCCAAATAAAACACCTTCATGATAAATTTATAACAATTAACAATAATGATAATGATAATAATAGCTAACATTTATACGGTGCTTACTATGTGCCAGGCACAGTGCTAATTATTATCTCATTTGATCCTCACAACAACCATGGGAGGTAGGTACTATTATTGTTTGCATTTCACAGATGAGGAAATGGAAGCAAACAGTTTAAGTAACTTGCCCAGGGTCACACAGCTAGTTAACTACCTGAGGTTGAATTTGAACTCAGGTCTTCTTGACTTCAGTTGCAGAATTCTATTCAGGGACATCTTATCCTTTAGAAAAAGTAATTCTGAACTACAATAAATGGTTCCCAAGAGATATTTCATAAAAACAATATCACCATTTAGTGACATCTTTGGCAGGGTACCATAGAAATATGTTAAAACTTCCTTTAACTGAAAATACTAAGAAATTAATATTTTTCAAATACAAAGTCCTGTCCAGATATTCAAAGGAGGGAAAGTGTATTAGTACTTAAACTGTTCAAGAAATAATGTGCCCACACTAAAATCATTTCTACTCCCTTTCTTTTAGACCTTAACCTTTGTCTTTTAAGTAATTGTATAAAAGGCCAAGAACAAAAGATATGACTGGGAAAATAAATTAAGGGTGATAACCACAGATATAAAACAAGAAATACCTCACATCTAGTTAAAGTCATTACCTGCCCCCTTCCCCAGAAAGGATTATTGTAAAAACACAGAAAGTTCTTTGAGTACTTCAAGTCACCTATGAGGAGGACCACTAAGGAGGAGGGTATAAGAGGGACCAGCAGTTTTAGGGGAATGATTCTCTAGGGGGCATGCTGGAAAGGTTGAGAGACTATTGTCCTGTTTTATGAAGTAAAATCAACTATACTTTAGCACTGTGAAATTTTCCTATGTTCAAGAATCTTACAGATGTGACTTTGAAAATGTCATGTGTCAGAGAGACATATCTGAGAGCACAAGTGGATTCCATCAGTTTGGACATGCAGAACAATCCTTGGATTAGAATAATGATAAACCAATGAAAAGTTGTTAGCAGGCGTGTGCCAACAGTGCAAAGTACAGTATCAATATTTATTTCTTCTACAGTACCCCAGATACCCCACCAGAGGCAGAGAGACTCTGGGACCATGGTAGGTCGCCCATTGGTATATAGGCTTCTATTTCCTTCTTTACAAACACTGTTCATGCACACATCACATATACCATAAGGAGAAGAGAGCAAATAGAGCAAAGAGGAAAGCTGATGGGGAGAAGAACATTCCTTTTCTGCACACCAAGGAGATGGAAATATAACTTCAGCCAAAAGGGTCTGGGATGAGAAGTTCAAGCAGGCACATTCCACAAAAGCAGCAGCGAGTAGGGTGAGTGCAGCTAGATCAAAATCACAAGTACCAGGATCTCATCTTTAAAACTGTCTCTCGACAGTTTCATTTCACTCACTGTTATAGCGTCTGTAGCTGTCAATCTTTCCGGATGCCACTCTGTACAGAATTGTCCCTTCAAAGGCAGTCTTTCCTGACAGTGAATGAGAGAAGAGAAGGGAGGAGGAAAAAGACAAGAGAAGGGAGAGGGAGAGCAAATGATGATAAAAAGAAGGGAGAGGAAGAATCTTTAACTGAACTTTCTTTCAATGACCAGAACTGTAAGAGCTTTTTACAGAAAAATAAATTGAAATTTTTATACAAAAAAAAAAGCACGTGCTAAAAATGCTGAATGGCATTAGTCTTCGCCTCTGCTAATGAGACAACAAACACAGAAGTGTAGCCACAAGATTAAGAAAGTCATTTTCAACATTTACCATAACTTACATACAGTAAAACCACAGTTACTGAGAATCCAGCTAATCAGAACTCTCCATTTTCTTTTCTTGCCCTCTACTTGTAGGGTAGAAAGAAAGACTAATTACAAGAAAAAAAAAAAAAAAGCTTAAATCAAAGATAGAGTTCATAGGTTTTGTTTGGTTTCCTCTGAGATGTGTATACACTGGAGACAATTCAGCCCCAATCTCTTATGCCTTCCATATTGTGTTTTGGTACACAGAAAATTCATACCAATGATCCAGTGATACTGTAAAAATCTGAATCATCATCCTTAGTACATTCTATTTAGAAAGGCAGGAAAAAATACACTAATAAAGTTTTTTTTTCAACAAAGGGAGTTTTCTGCTTAACACTGAGTTAA